ATATGGAACCAGATTCATTGTCAGAGGAAGAGCTCGGCAGTTAGTAACAAACCAACCATATATATGGAACCGGATTCATTGTCAGAGGAAGAGCTCAGAAGTTAGTAACAAAGTTTACTCCCATCTCCCCTAGATTATGCTACCTACGTCTAAAGGGAAAATTCTTTAATATCTCCATAATTAATTGTCATGCACCTACTGAAGTGTCATCTGAAGAAGAGGACACGTTTTACGAAGACCTCTATAAAGTCCTCAAGATTTGTTCAGCACATGATGCTAAAATAGTTCTAGGAGACTTAAACGCCCAGATTGGCACAGAAGGAATACACCTACCATCAATTGGAACCTTCAGTCTTACATCAGAACACGAATGCCAATGGCCAAAGAGTGATTGACTTTGCGGACACTCACGGCCTGGTGGTCGGAAGTACCATGTTCCTCAGGCAAAAATATACACAAAGCTACCTGGAGATCATCTAATGGAGCGTTTACCAGCCAGATCGACCACATCTTAATCAGCTCTCGTCACAGGTCCAATTTAATTGGAGTAAGAACATATAGAGGAGCAAACGTGGATTCGGATCACTACCTCAGCATTGCCAGTATACGTGCCCGGATTACCACGAAACGGAACTCTGATATTGGAGAAGTTGTGAAGAAATTCAATGTTCACAAACTGAAGGATCCAGAAGTGTGTGAAACCTATCAGCCACACCTTCAATCTAAGCTGGAGCAGGAACTAAGGGATAGGAATGACACAGTGGACGACCAGTGGTCGGGAGTTTCAAGAGCGCTGAAAACTACAGCAGAGGAAATCCTTGGATTGCAGACAAGAAGCAGGAGGTCCCCTTGGTTTGATGATGAATGCCTCGAGGCAACAAATAAGAAAAATGAAGCGTATAAGAAGGCTATCCAGACGCCATACACGTCAAACACAGGAGACATACCGAAAGGAAAGAAGAGAGGAAAAGAGATTGCACAGGAGAAAGAAGAGAGCATGGAGAACTGTAAGATGAGGATGTGGAAAACTGCAGGACATCTCGTGACACTCGCTCTTGCTCTCTTCTTTTCAGAAAGTGAATGAGGGCCGTAATGCCTTCAAACCAAAAGTTACTACGTGCAAGAATGAGGACAGGAACCTGTTGACGGAGAGAAGGGAAATTCTGAAGAGATGGGCAAGGCATTTCAGCTGGAGCGCTTCAAAGAGGTAACTTTGAAGAAGAAATAGCCAGAGAAGAGGACGACTTCTTTAACGATGACGAGCCACCGGACGATGAAGATATAGAAACGGCCACAGCGAAGTTGAAAAAACAATAAGGCTCCAGGACTGGATGGAATTCAAGCGGAGCTGATACGCTATGGAGGAATGCAAATAAGAAAGGAGCTCCATAACCTCATTTTGAAGATATGGGAGGAAGAGAAAATGGCTGAGGAGTGGAAAAGAGGAATTATCTACCCACTGCACAAGAAAGGGGACCAATCAGATTGCGACAATTATCGAGGGATAGTGCTTCTCTCATGTGCTTATAAAGTTCTGTCTAACATACTATTTAAGAGACTAGTTCCTCATGCCAAGAGGGAGATAGGCAAATATCAAGCGGGATTTAGGTGAGGGAGGTCCACATTGGATCAACTGTTCTCACTGAGGTTGATGCTGGAGAAATGCAAAGAGTATAGAACAGTTACCCATCACCTCTTCATTGATTTTAAAGCTGCCTACGATAGTGTAACTCGCCGGAGCTCTATCAGGCCCTGTTGGAAATGAACATCCCAAGTAAACTGATACGGCTCGTGAAAATGACGATGTTCAGGCTCAAGTGTGCAGTACGAGTGGGAAGTGACTTCTCGGAGGCTTTCATACTAACTGCGGTGTAAGACAGGAGATGCTCTAGCTGTCTTCTTTTAACTTCGCTGCAGAGAAAGCAGTGCGTATGTCCGGTATCCAACTCTACGCAACCCTTCTTAACAGTACCGTTCAGCTTCTTCGGTATGCTGATGACTTTGATATGAACATCCCAAGTAAACTGATTCGGCTCGTGAAAATGACGATGTCAGGCTCAAAGTGTGCAGTACGAGTGGGAAGTGACTTCTTGGAGGGCTTTCATACTAACTGCGGTGTAAGACAGGGAGATGCTCTAGCTTGTCTTCTTTTTAACTTCGCTGCAGAGAAAGCAGTGCGTATGTCCGGTATCCAACTCTACGCAACCCTTCTTAACAGTACCGTTCAGCTTCTTCGGTATGCTGATGACTTTGATATTGCCGCCAGATCGGAACGTGCATTAAGAGAGTTGTTCTTGGCCATAGAAGATACAGCAAAGAAACTTGGGCTACACATTAATGAAGCTAAGACCAAGAACATGAGAGTCGGAGGAGATGGGCCAGGGAACGGATCTTTTGTGGCTGGAACATTTAATTTCGAAAAGGTATGCAGCTTTGTTTACCTCGGGTCTGAGGTCAACTCCGAAAACGCCATCTCTAGAGAAGTCAACAGAAGGATAGCAACAGCGAGATGGTGCTACTTTAGCCATTCGAAGCACTTTGGAACAGGACCAAGATCACTCTCTACAAAACCTTGGTCCGCCCTGTTTTAACTTATGGATCAGAAGCATGGGCATTGAAGAAGCAGGATGAAAATAGACTTCTGATCTTTGAGAGATCAATCTTGAGAAGGATTTTTGGTTCTGTTAGAGAGGGTGGAATTTGGAGAAGCATAGGAAAAATGCCGAACTTGTTTGCCTTTATAAGGACATAGACTTGGTGAGGTTTATAAAGTTAGGACGACTTCGATGGGCCGGGCATGTAGCACGTATGGATGATTCGGCGATACCCAGGAAAATGCTGTCCGGAAAGATGCATGGACAAAGAAAGGTTGGCAGGCCAAATGTAAGATGGGAGGATTCAGTGACATCGGACGCACGGGCTCTACTGGGAGTCCGAAACTGGAGAGCTGCTGCAGCTGATCGTATTGACTGGCGAAAGCTTTTGGAGGAGGCCCAGTCTCGGTGACGGGATGTAGCGCCATATATGTATGTATGTATTATTTATAAATCTATTTGTCTACTCATACATTCTGGAATTAATTTTAATTTTATTTTATTTTTCCTCCTAATAGAGATTACTTCTAAATTTCTTAAACCTAGTAGCTTTGCTATTTTCATATCATGAAATGATTCTAATTTATTTTCGTTATCTTTTTAAATGATTACAATATAAGGGGCTCAAAAATGTTTTAAGAAATGTAGGACAGTTTTCAAATTGTTTTGAGCTATTTTGTTGTTGTGTGATCTTGTTATATAATAAGAGTTCATTTTTACATAAATTTGATCGGATGATTTTTTATCTGCAGGGTCATTCAGATCCATGTTTTAGAGTCGAGTAAACACAATATACAGGGCGTTTCATGTTTAAGTGACCAAACTGCAAAAATGTTCTTTAAAGTGAAGGTATGTCCGTAAACGCTTTGTTTAGGATATGGAGTAGATCGGGGGGGGGGGGGCACATTTCTAGAATTTTTTAATAATGATTACCATGATTTAATTGAACATATTCCACTACAACTGAGAAGGGACATGTGGTTAAATTAGATAGTTGTCCTGCACATTACGGAAGAGCTCCACGACAATGGCTACATGTTAATTATCCCAATCAATGGATTGGCCGTGCAGGACCAGTGGCTTGGCTTGCACGCTCTCCAGACCTGACACCACTGGATTCTTTTGTTGGAGATGACATTAAACAAAACATTTATGCAAGTCCGGTCAATGACCTTAATTACTAACGAAGAAGGATAATTGAATCTTGTGAAACAATAACACATATTCAGTGCCGTTCTGCCATTGCTGTTATTGAAGAAAGATGCCAAGCCTGTCTTAATGCTTAAGGAAATATATATAATATATATATATATATATATATATATATATATATATATATATATATATATATATATATAACATATATATATATAAACAAAAATTGGCTATATAACTAGTTATAGTAATATAAATGGTTAGTAATAAAAATATATTGGAAAGGGCTGGCCTGGTAATCCCTGTGAACTGTGAACTATAGATTAAGCGATGTGTACTCGACCGCTGTATAAAACTCACTGAATATGAGTTCTTGTAAATTATCTTGTAGGTAACTGAAGTTTTACATAGACAGGCTTACAATAATGAATGAACTTTTTATTGATGTCAACTAAACTTGATTTTTATTTTCTTCTCGAAGGCTATCTATACATAATTAAATTAATATGGCAGGTAAACAAACTACAAGGTAACTATTAGTTACCTTCCTATGCAATAATACAAAGAAGGTAACTATTAGTTAGCTTCCTATGCAATAATACAAACAGTATCTTGTAGATGATATTTAACAGGTTAATACCTATTGCAAACACCTTATTCTCCTTGACAGAGGTGCCCATCCCCTCCCCCCAAGGCCGATGGAGCATGAATCTTCCCCCACCACTCCTAAGATATTTTAATGTTATTCTCTTCTTAAAAACAGTGCAAACAAAAGTATAATTTAAAAATTTGTAGATTATACACAGTTACACATTCTGCAGTCTTTTCTATGCTCCCATTTATTTGTCATTTGATTTGAAACTTTTATTTTAAAAATTCATAACCCAGTCAAAATGTGCCCACCTTAAAAATTCAAAACCCTGTCAAAATTTGCCCCCTTCAAAAATTGTAATAGCACAAGTAAGAAACACCTTCTGGGCGGGCATCCCTGCTCCTGGGCTATCCTGGCATCATAAAATACTTAAATATTTTATAGAGAAAAGAACAGCAATAAATTTAGTGTAATAATTTTAAAAAAACAAGGTAATTCCAACAGTTGATAGAGACTGTAAATATATATTGTTTTTTGTTTTTTTTTAAATGTAAGAACTAATAACATTTCCAGCAAATTTAAAATCAGAAAATAAAAGGAAACACACTAAATTAAAGTATTTAAACAGTTTAACAAGAAATTACACATTATGTACTCACATTATTCCACCAAACCCTTTGAACGTTCAATAAACCACCATCATGCTTTGTTTTTTTATCATTACAAATACATTTCTTATTTAAAAAGCATGTCCAATGTTCAGTTATTTCATTAGGTGGCAGTTGAAAATAATTTTCAATGCATGAACTGCAGAAAACCCTAAAAATAAATAGAAATATATTATTTATAAGGAGGGCATGAATTTTTAAACTAGTAAAAATCTATACCATATATATGCCATGTAATATGTGTTGATGTGGTTAAACTGAATTTTCAATCACAGAAAAAATCTTTCTATTTTTGGAACGAGTTTTTACAACAATTCTATTCCATATATATGTTTTTATATAACATTACAAATTAATTCTTTCTAATTGACTGAAAGTGAGATTAGCCATTGACTTCATTATCACACCCCTCAATGGCTGATCATAAGTTAAAGATAAGTTTCTTCTGAGTCCATTTCCCATTTGATTGATCTGCAATAAGTTTAATTTTATTTCATCTTTTCTTCATTTTCTTACTGTTTACGAAAGTTTATCAAAGCACATGTCCTAAGTTGTTTTTTTTTTTCGCTTGTTCTTTCTTTTTTTAAAGTTTTGATTTAAGTTTTCATTTTTGTAACTTATTTTTTGGAGGAACTTCAGTCTCTTCTTTCAATACTAATTCTTTATTATTTTATTTTGCTTCCAGAATCATATCAATCTGCTGATTAATAATGCTTAATCAAAGGAAACAATGCTTAATCCATATCAATGCCTACACCATAGATTTCTTTATATTTCCTTTCATCTTCTTCACCACCATTATTTTTTTCCTCATCATTCTGATTATTTAAGTTAAACAACTATAAACTAAGTTAAACAGTTCCTAAAAGCTGACAGATAAGTTTTCACAAAAGGCTTAAACTTTTCAGGACTTTAAAACAATTTCACATTAATATTTTTCAATGGACCCTTCCTATATTTTAGTTTTTGAGGTCTTCTTTTTAAGGAGATATACTTAGTACTATTTTCATTCTTATTATACAAGGAAGAATTAAGAATGTATAGTCCATTGGATAACCAAACAGTCATTTTCTTTTCTCCATTTAATAAGAATGTTGCTTTTTCGTGGTTGAAAATATTTTTCATTCCATTTACAAACAATGCATTGCCTAAAACTAGATGATTATTACCAATGTCTAAGTTAGCACTCCCTGAACCCACTACAGCAGTGGATCTCTATTGGGCATTATTATCCTTTCACCAGTTAAACATTCAGTAAAATTAGTTAACAAATGTTTATTCCAAACCATGAGCATTGTAGTTTCTGATTCTACTATTCACTAGTTGCATAATTATATCACCATAACATAATTAAACATACCACAAGCTAACAATAGTGCTGAAGCTGCTAAATTTTCTTCAGTTTTATATTCATTCTCTCTGTGCTTACAATATTTTGCTATGTGGCCTACAAAAGCGCATTTAAAATATTGCAATGTCTCATTTTTTTTTTTCAAAATTCTACAATCCTTAAGGATATGTCCACTCGTTTTACAGTAATTACAAATGCGTTCATCAGTCATTACTTTTGAGGCAAAAGCTTTTTCATTGAATGAATCACTAATTAACATTTTTGAATTACTTTCTAGCATTTTCATACTTCTCTCAGTTTCAAATAATAATTTGGTTCATAAGATCTTGAATGATGTGTCATTCAAGTATTCAAATGCAGAGGTAAAGGGTTCAAATGAAGCAGACAAGCTATTTAATACCTTAGTTGTTAGCAAGTCACCTGATATTGGTTTCCAAAATTCTTCCAATCGGTTTGCCAGATAATCTACTACCTCTACAAAATCCATGATATTATATCCAAACCTTAAGAAGTAAAATTTGTTCTATAAGTATAATTTACTTTGCCTTTGTGTCTCATGCAAACATATTCTCCAACTTTTTTAATATATTAGTAGCAGATTTGCATGTTGTCAGCATTCACAACATTTTCATTGACAGAACAAATTATGTATTTTCTTTTTTTTAAGTCCACCATTCCATTAGTACATACATCATACCAGAACTTACAAACTTCATCATTTTCTTTACCACAAAGGAATATCTTTTCTCGCTTCTCTTCCATCTTAGCCACTTAATCAAGACTTTCTATTGTTAATTAACTCAGTTAACAGCACATAAGTGTCATAATCTGCTATGGTTAAACTGAATCGTTAATCGTAGAAAAAATCTTTCTATTTTTAAAATAAGTTTTTACAACAATTCTATTCCATACATCTGTTTTTATATAATAATACAAATTAATTCTTCCCAATTGACTCAAACTGAGATCAGCCATTGACTTCATCATCACTTCAACAACAATATGCAATAAAAAAACAAAATATGCAGCAAAAAAATCTATAAAAAAAAACCTGTACCTCTACAACCCATGAAGAGTCTTTGGTTCAGTACTATTTAGGAAAAGTACTGTTTCTCAGTCAAGGGTTGAGCAAGGAGATGATTTTTCTGAGATCACGCTCAACTGCCAGGTTGTCCCTGTTAATTAATTATTTAATTAAGAGTACCCGCTTTATAGAGGGTGGTTGTGGCCCAGGAGGGTCTCCTGATCCCAGGGTTGCTATTATTAATAATTTAATATTTTTTTTCCATACTCCGTTCCACATATTTTCCTGACCCTTGGAAACTATCTGTAGTCAAAATGATACATAAACCCAAAAAGCCACCAGAATACCCATCCTCTTACCGTCCTATCTCTCTTTTACCCATCATGGGCAAAATCCTGGAGAAGCTCATCTTAAAACGCCTGTATCCCATCCTAGATTCTAACCACATAATCCCTGATCACCAATTTGGATTCCGCACATCCCATTCCATTATCCAGCAATGTCATCGTGTGGTAGACGTGGTCTCCTCTGCATTGGAGCGCGGAATGTATTGCACTGGAGTTTTTCTCGACGTTGAACAGGCGTTTGATCGAGTCTGGCATCCGGGATTGCTTTACAAACTCCGTAAATTCCTTCCCACTACACATTTTTTTATCATCAGTTCCTATCTTACTGATAGGCACTTTAAAGTAAATCACAATAATACCTATTCATCCCTCTTTTCTCAATCTGCCGGAGTTCCTCAAGGTAGTATCCTTGGTCCTATCCTTTACACAGTTTATACAGCTGACATCCCAACCCATCCTAACACTGTTATTACCACGTATGCCGATGATACATGTGTCCTATCCGTTAATAATGACCCAACCATTGCATCCCAAACTCTTTAATCACACATCACAAGCCTTGAAGAATGGTGTCAAAACTGGAGGATTAAAATAAATTCTAATAAATCCCATCAAATCACCTTTACCCTTAGACGTAAACCTATGACCTCATGTCCCACAGTATCCTTTAATAATACCCCACTTATCCCTGTTGAACAAATCCGATACCTTGGACTTCATTTGGACAAACGTCTAACTTGGAATCCTCATACCAGACTGAAACGACAAGAAACCGCTCGACGTTTCCGACTACTCCAACACTTACTAGACAAATGCTGTAACCTTCCAATTAATTACAAAAGACTCGTATACATGACTATAATAAGGCCTATTTGGACTTACGGAGTTGAGCTATGGGGTTCCACCAAACCTTCAAATACCTCTCATATCCAATCCACACAACCCAAATCCTTCATAAAATCCTCAATTCTTCCTACTTTGTTACAAATAAAATCATCAATAATGACCTTAATATTCTGTATGTTTCAGATTTGTCCCAATCCATATATCTATCCTTCCGTAATAAATTTCATAACCATCCCAACCCTCTTGTTTCTGACCTTGTTTCCTATTCAATTCCTGATAACCCTCCGAGGCGTCTGAAAAGAAGATGGCCTCGTGATCTTCTCATGTAGACAAATTATTAGAGTGCTACCAGTGGATAGTTTCTCAACAAGCGTGTTTCATGTAATAATATTTCTCTGTACAAATTTACTAGATGTATTCATACTAATACAGTTGTAAATATCATAATAAAAGTTTTAAAAAAAAATATGTTTTTTTCTGCCATAAGCAGAAATAAATAAAAAAAAAATCTTGAAATATCCAATAATACAGAAAAATATTTAATTACTAATTCTACCTAAAAAATGTTTTGAGCTAAATATATATATATATATATATATATATATATATATATATATATATATATATATATCGGAAGGATTAAAAATTATTTCATTATTTGTATAAACCAAAATAATTAAAGCATAATATAATAATCAAAAATGGAAAATAAAATATATATTTGTTAATGATTAAAACATAATATGAAATAATTTTCAATAACTAAAATATTAAAGTATTACGAAGTCCCAATTAGTAACAAATAAAAACAGCTAAAGGAATTTTATATCAAATTTATATAACTGACAATAATTAAAAAACTAATAAAAAAAATCTGGTGCACACATCACATGAATTTCACTTACCACCCTCTTCTTTTTTTCTTTTATTATTTATTATGATATTTACAACTATATAAAAAAAATACAACTATATAAAAAAAATACAACTATATAAAAAAAATACAACTATATAAAAAAAATACAACTAGTAAATTCGTACATGGATATAATGACATGAAACACATGTTGAGAAACTACCTATTGATAGCACTCTAATAATATGTCTACATTAGGAGATCAAGGGGCCATCTTCTTTTCAGACGCCTCGGAGGGTTATCAGGAATTGAATAGGAAACAAGGTCAGAAACAAGAGGGTTGGGATGGTTATGAAATTTATTACGGAAGGATAGATATATGGATTGGGACAAATCTGAAACATACAGAATATTAAGGTCATTATTGATGATTTTATTTGTAACAAAGTAGGAAGAATTGAAGATTTTATGAAGGATTTGGGTTGTGTGGATTGGATATGAGAGGTATTTGAAGGTTTGGTGGAACCCCATAGCTCAACTCCGTAAGTCCAAATAGGCCTTATTATAGTCATGTAGACGAGTCTTTTGTAATTAATTGGAAGGTTACAGCATTCGTCTAGTAAGTGTTGAAGTTGTCAGAAACGTCGAGCGGTTTCTTGTCGTTTTAGTCTGGTGTGAGGATTCCAAGTTAGATGTTTGTCCAGGTGTAGTCCTAGGTAACGGATTT